CCCATGGAGAGATTTTTGAAGTTTCCCGGTTGTTTGTATCTGGTGTGGGTGGGAGTCACACACCTGCTAAAGTAGATTCCGCTGGGAAGGAATCTGGTTGGCTGAATTCTGGTGACTTCCCCTCTCTGCTATGGCGGGCCCCTGGCTCCTTGCCGGAGTGTCCAAAGGGAGGGGTGGGACTGGCTTGTCTCTGGTCTGACTCAATCTCTGGTGTTAGTTCCCGGTTCACTATTTCATAAAGGCTTGGTTAGAGTCCCTTCACGTCGCCTCCTGAGCCGGGCATGTGGGGGCCGTTTGCAGAGCCGGGCCGGTGGCGGCTGTTCAAAATTTTGCCTCAATGGGTGGGCAGCGGCCACTCGGCACCGGCAGGCGGGACTGGACCTCTGTGCTGCGTGGCCGAGATTCACTCGTCTGGGGCAAACTGTCACCTCCAATAAACTTACTAATTTCCGGCAGGTCTCCTTTCAGCAGAATTTTGCTAGAAGTTTCTCAGCAGGTAGAATCTAGGTGTATTAATGCGTCTCTCTGATCCCGTTAATGTGGAGGTACTGAAAGTGCTGCCTCCTCACCGGCCACCATGATGGGTCATGGTTATTCTTACTAATAGGTGAATTTAATAAGGCATTTGAGGTGAATATAAAAATTATCAATAGCATCAAAAATGTGAAAAACCTAGGATTCAGTCTGCTTAAGTTATGAAAACTATGAATATAAAAACTATTCCTTTGTGATTAGCTTGTTGCTCTTCCATATATCCGTGTCATAGCTAGGTGTGGTTGTACACATCTAGGCCCAGCAACTTATGGTGCTGAGATGGGACAGTTGAAAGTTTAAGGTCAGCCTCAGCAACTTAGCAGAGATCCTAATAAATAAAAAAGGCTGAGGATGTAGCTTAGCAGAACAACACACCTGGCTTCAGTTGCCCGTACTACAAAAGATAAAAAAGTACACACCAAAGATCATGGACATATGTTTTCATCCTTTTTTTTTTTTTTTTTTTGTAGTTGTAGATGGACAGTATGTCTTTATTTATTTTTATGTGGTGCTAAGGATCAAACCTGGCGCCTTACACGTGGTAGGCAAGTACTCTACCACTGAGCTATAGCCCCAGCCCCCTCTTTTTTACTCTTTTAAATTTCACTGTCTCATCTTTCACATTGAGAAATATAGTCCACTTCAAACTACTTTTTGGGTATGTTGTGAATGAAGAATGAAGTTTTAATTTAAATTTTTTTCCATAGCAATAAATAATTGACTCAAATATTTATGAAAAGATTGTTTTTGCCTACTGTTCTACCGTGATGGCTTTGTTGTAAATTAAGCGTTTCGTCTGTGCTTGCATTTGTTTCTGATTTTTCTATTCTGTTTCCTCATTTTAATAAGATCACACTATTCATTGTGTTTTGTAAGTCTTGATATATACCTTCTGATTCTTTAGGAATGTGTGAATGGTCTTGGTTCTTTGCTTTTTAAAATACATTTTAACATTTTGAGAATCTGTTGAATAACATTCCACTATCATTTAAATTTGCAGTTTTCATGTTTTTTGCCAACATATTTTCATAGGGTATTTGACTTACAAGAAATTTCTTTTGGGGGCTGGGGATGTGACTCAACCGGGTAGTGAGCTTGCCTGGCATGTGTGCGGCCCGGGTTTGATCCTCAGCATCACATACAAACAAAGATGATGTGTCTGCCGAAAACTAAAATAAATAAATAAATAAATATTTTTAAAAAATAAAATCAATTAGCATAAAGGGATTAGGTTTTAAAAAAAATGAAATTTCTTTTGTGAAGTGACAGTTTAGGTTGTTTCACATTTTCTAGTGTGTCTGTTCTCCCTCCCTCCCTCTCTTTCCTCTCCTTCCTCCTTTCTTCCTACCTTCCTTCCTTCCTTATTTTCTGTGCTTGGGAATGAACCCAAAGCCTCACACATGCCAGACAAGTGCTCTATCACTAAAGTCACACACCCAGCCCTGTTTTCTTTATCTTACTCATCTATAGGAGTTCTTTGTGTATTCTAGATAAAAGATTTTTGTTGTTTGTATGTGTTGCAAAGAATTTTCCCCACTCTGTTGACACTTTTGCTCTATTAAATGGAATCACTTGATGAACACAGGCTCCCGATTTCAGCATAGCCAGATATTGGAGCTTCTGGGTGTGCTTTGTGTTAGTTGTTCTTTGTGGGGAAAAGAGCACAGATATGCTTAAATAAAATAAAAATTTAATTGTAACCATTATATTTTACTTATAATTGCTATATACTTTTCAGCTGTGGATTTCTTCAATCAGATCAACATGCTTTATGGAACCATCACAGACTTCTGTACAGAGGAGAGTTGTCCGGTGATGTCAGCTGGACCAAAGTAAGACATGGTTAATGATTAGTTCTCATTTTATTTATAGTTTTTAGATAAGAACAAAGCTTCTGATTATATATTTTCTCTACTTAGCAACTCCTTCAATGGTTTGCTAATGACTATTTTATCAAGCCAGATTCCATAGCTTGAGCTTTATGATCCTCCCTGTATTGTATTTATTTAGGGACTTGCTGCTTAAATTAAAAAAAAAAAAAACAGAAGAAGAATTTATTCAGGGTCTTGCTGAATTTTTTAGGGCCTCACTAAGTTGCTGTGGTTTGCTTTGAACTCGTAATCCTCTTGCCTCATCCTTCAGGGCTGCTGGAATTACAGGAGTACACCACAGCTCCCAGCTTAGCCTTGTTCTTTTTAAAAAATATTTTTAGTTGTAGATGGACCTAATACCTTTATTTTGTTTATTTAGTTGTTTTTTTTTTTTTTTTAATGTGGTGCTGGAGAATGAAACAGTGCTTATAACAACAATGGCAGCTACTATTTAGTGGTACCTATATGTAAGGCCCTTCATATATTATATGTTTTACTTCATACCACAATATTCATCGCAAGAATATTGCCTCATACATTGTCATGAATGTAAAGAATATAGTCAATGACTGAAGAGCTCGGAACAGAGATATTAGAGCTCAGGAAAGGAATTGGGCTAACATATAAGGAGGTTAAATATAAGCTAAATTCTTAGTAAAGAGAAAGGAAGATGACACTGGAAAGGGCACAGAGCTGAACTTTTACTTCTTTCTAGCCCACAGAGATAAGTAGCTGCAGTTATTAAAAATTCAGTGCCTTTCAATTCCCTGTTTCCTATAGACCTCTTCCTATTGAGTTTTGTTCTGTGGTTTTCAACCCTCAGGACTGTTGACTTTGGAGAATCGTGGTCTGTGGACTTTGTTGTTGCAGGTGTCTGTCTTGGTCTTCCTTCACCATATTTGAATTTATGTGAATTATGTAGTTCTTTGTTTTTAAATACTGTGGTTCAGAGATACAGGTGTTTCCTCAAAGACAAAATGAATTTCTGTTACTTGTTATTTTGGGAGGTTTTCTTAAAGGAAAAACGTCGTTTAAAAATGAAATCCCTTGGGGCTGGGATTGTGGCTCAGCATTAGAGTGCTTGCCTAGCATGGGTGGGGCCTGGATTTGATCCTCAGCATTAAATAAAGTATTGTGTTGTGTCCATCTACAACTAAAAAAATAAAAAAGGTATTAAAAAAATGAAATCCCTTTTAGTACATCTTAATTCTGATTAATATTATTGGTGTTTACTTAGAGTGTTTTAAGTTTTACTTGTGAAAACAGATATTTTTAATTGTGTTGTTATGTAGTTAGCTATGCATTGAAAACACCATGTTCCTTTATTTGAGAGCTGTGTTTGTTTCTGCTTGTGTGTGTGTGTGTGTGTGTGTGTGTGTGTGTGTGTGTGTGTGTG